CTTTGACTGGATGAAGCCATCACCTAGTCAGTGGAGTCTGATCGTCCGAAACCATATAGTATACTCAACGGTTGATCGGGCGACTTAGCCACCAGAACAAAAGTGTGTCGAAGCGGCCCTAAGGGCAAACTGCACCAAAAAAAGGACCCGGTGAAGGCAAGAGCGAAGCGGGCCAGCACAGGAACTCAAAAACGAAAAACACCTCGCGTCTGTCACTAGCTGGAACCTCCAAAAGGGGACCAGAAGCAAAAGACAGGTTGGGTGCGAGAAAAGCAAAAACATGCGCAGGGAATTACAAAAGAACTCACTCAATGCGGCGAAGGACGGCCCGAGCATTCTCACGGTGAAGGGCCACTGCCGGAGATTGAAGAATAAACAAACAAAACATAATCAACTCCTGACGCGTAGCAGCAAACAACGGTGTCAACAAACAAATGTAAATATCACTGGAACAACCCTAGTTCAGCAGCCTTTTTGTTGCATACCAACTGCAGTACCAGTATAGGCGGAGTAGTTTTGCTTCAAGAGGTGCTTTTGTGTGAGTGGCCACTTTCAGACCACGCCATCCACCAGCCCCGAGTGACGGATGCTCATACATTTGGCGAGCAGTGTAGAGGGAGTGAGTGCAGGCGAACATTTCCCCCAACAGCGAGTCTTAGGGGTCTTCAGTAAAGATTTCGGAGCAGATCGGAGCAGGTTCGCAAGTCTGCTCAGGAGAAGTTGGGAAGTTCCGGAGCAGGTTCCGGAGCAAGGAGCAAGTTCCTGAACAAGTTCCGGAGCAGGTCCCGCAGCAGGTTTTGAAGTAGGAGCAAGCTCTGGAGGAGAGCAAGGCTTTCCCAGATCCCCCAACCAGTGCACCTGAACTCAGCTTCTCACGGCTTGGTCAGGGCGTATTCGCCTTGGAGTTTTGTCAGCACCCCACATCCTTTGCGGAGCGTGCGAAGACACTTGAGTTCTGCGCATGGCGAACCAGCTGACGAGCCACTAGGTTTTGCAATGGTTTTGGGGGCTGTGGTTCATGTGATCAACGCTTCCTGCAACTTTGCTACACCTGCCTTTGCTCTCCTCTTCGGCGCGCGCTCATGTTCAGGTTGCAGCTTCACGACTTTCTGACTATCAAAGCCCCTCCCATTTTCTTGGTGGGAGTGCTGCTTCCTTTTTGCATCTCAGATGCCGTAGTCAAGGCTGCGCGTCATCGTGACGTTTCCTGCGTAGCTCAGGCATGCGAACTTTTGGGTTGGAGCCACAAGCACGTTGTGCCCTCATAATGGTCGGAGTGCTGACCTTGAGTCTTTTCGAGGCTCGAGCTGAACATGATCATGGTCCTTCAGGAACAGACTATTTTGTGAATGTCAAATATATGGTGCAGGCAGACTTCAGAAATATACCACCATGAAAAACTCAGAACATGACTTTTCTGTGTAGTGCTTTCGCAGCTGTGTAGGCGGTGACCAGCCTGAAAACCCAGCCAATCCAAGTGTGTCAGTCCAATCCCGTTCTTGGTTCGTTCTACTTGCACCAGTGGCAGCTTATTATCGGTCTGGTTAGGTAGGAATAAGCAGGTCAAGTGTGAAGTTCTTGTGCACTCACTTTCAATTCTTATTTATCCGTGATCACGGATCAGCGTACGCCATTTTGGCTCAAGAGAGTTCTTCCTCCAGTTGTTCAACTGGGGACGTTCGTTCCCCTTGGGGCCTGGGAAGTGAGCTATGTCCGGGGCGCCAATGCTGCACACAACCCGTTCGAGGTTAAGCTCCCAAGGTTCATCAGCTGGCTCGAATGCAACGAGGACGACATGGTCGACAACTCGATCATCATGTCGGACGATCGGGATCTTCGTATGGTGTCACCATTTCAATCGTGGTTGACGCGTGAAATCATGTCGAACTCAGCAAGCTCGATTAACGTTCTCACTGAACGTGATCAGGAATGCCACCCAGTTCAGGCTACCACCTCACTTTGTTCGGGAGTCGACGGAATCAAGGTCGTAGTGGTGGCTCTTGAGACAGAGACGGGCTCAATGAATGCAGGTTGGGATGCTGACACGGCTACGGCTCTTAGCCGCCTTAGCCATGTGGCATTCCAACCCTTCACGTGCCCCATGCTCAGGGACACGTCAGCCTCCTACAGCGACCTCAAGATCTACAACGGCAACGAGGTCCTCTTCCACTGGATCTTTCGGGGCTATCGGGTGCTGGTCACGGAGGCCAACAAGGGCAAGTGGCGAAGCGGTCCTCACCAGAGCGATGGAGGCCGCCGGTTTTCCATGTCTTCCGCCCATCGACCTGAAAAACGAGTTTATTCATTTTTCCACTGACGTGACCCATCCTCACGTCTTACAGCGCATTCAGATGCTCATCCAAGAAGGCTACATCGCCTACATTCACTTCGGCACTCCGTGCTCGTCGTTCAGCCTGGCCAGAAAAGCAGATCAAAAATCCGCTGGCAAATGCCGCCAGTGCAAGATCTTTGCTCACAGGGGGCCGAACGCATCGAGCTCGATATTATGTGCCGTTTCGGCTCTCCACACCTCAAGCCCACCGCCATAGCGACCGCCGCTCAGTTAAACGCTCCGCATCACCATGATCCCTTGGTGGGCCTCGAAGTGGTCAACGACAAGAAGCAGTTCAAAACCAAGCGAGCCCAGGTCTACCCACCTGAGTTGTGCTCCCAGTGGGCTGCTGCTTGGATCTCTGGCAGATCCTAACGGGCTCACTTTCACCATGGTCACCCGTCCAACTGAGCGCAAGCGGCCGCTTGGCCAACCAGTGCCATGGCACGGCCATCGGCAAGAGTTCACAGGCGCCAAAGCTCTCGGCGCGGGCTACCAGCTCAAGCGATCTGTTCTCCCACCCTTGCTCCAAGTGGAATATGAACCAGGGCAAGTCGTGAAGGTTGCGCTCGAGTTGATTCACCCATTCTCACGAGCGCCGGTGCTGGATCCAGATCTGCGCGAAGCTTTGGCATTGTCTGCTTACCGCCCCGAGTGGTCACGCGCTCACCGATGCCGTGCTCTCACCTAGTGGGAACAGCAAGCTCATGCTCTACTCCCCGAAACGGATCAATTGCTGCAGCGGGTCTCGGACCCTTGGCTCCGCGGCCTTCTGCGCGGTGGGGCTGACGATCAGCCCCTCCAGTTGGACAAATGCACCCACATAGCTCTGTGGAAAGCCATAGCATGGCGCGCGCTGCGCGATCCGTCTGGTCGGCATGCCTATCATAGGCGAGGTCTCCCGGTGTCACAGACTGCTCTCCATGCATGATCTGTACACGAGGGCCTGGGAGTTTTCCGCCAAAGTTCTTAGACACATCAACAAGTGCGAATACCCAAAAGGTCTGGGACGCGACCATGGAAGATGTGGCGGAAGGGGTCACATTAAATTATAGGTCCTTTCTTCACACAAGACGAAGCCAAGATCGTTGGAAGTCCCTGGATCCCGACCCAGATTCGAAGTTGTGCAAAAGAACAAGGTCAGGGGTTGACAGCGCCACCGCCAACGGGATCAATGTGGCCACTCAAATCACAGAGAAGCTTGATCTGACTTCTACAGACGTGAACGTGGCTGCGATCCGATGGCTGCGTTCGCATGTCGGCCAGAGGCCTCTGGCAGGATGGGTCTTGGAAAGCTTATCGCCAAGTGCCGATCGAGCCAGGACACAGGAGATGGAGCGTCATTGCTCTGAAGCAACCTTGTTCAGGGAAAGTTGCATTTTTCATTATGGTAGGTCACTCTTTTGGCCTTGTTTCCGCAGTCTACAATTACAACCGTAGGTCTGCGGAGATAACGGACAAACTTCGCAGGATCTTTTGTGTAGCTGCGTTCGACTTTTGTGATGACAAGTACGGGTTCGAACCCGAAGATACAGCAAATTCTGCGTTCACCGCAGCTCAAGCAGTTCACCTTTGGTTGGGAGCTCAGTTTGATCAGAAGAAGCTCCAGCGCACTTCGGCGCCTACAATCCTTGGGGCGACGTATGATCTTAAAGATACGCAGCTCTTGATCAAGGAAAGTAGGAATCGAACTCCTTGACGAAATTAGCTCGATACTGAAAGCTCAGATCCTCTCACCTGGCCAAGCCGGAAAGTTACGAGGTAAGCTGATGTTCGGTTCGTCCCAGCTCTGGGGAAAGGTGGGAAGGGCGTTCTTAAGAGCTCCCCGTCTTTTTCACTTAACAGTTGACAGAGCTCACCAGCAGACAGCGCTTGATGAGTGGAACTTCTTGATCAAACAAGGCCGAGGTCCATTGAGTTGGTCAAAGAACGGAGAGATGATTTAGGTGATTTTCACTGATGGCAGTTATCCCGACGATCGGGTTGACAGTCTAGATCACCCATGGATCGGCGGCGTGATTTCCGGAAAAGGTCTGCGCCCGCGCCAGTTCGGTGCCCGGGTTATCAACTTATATGATTGAAATGTTTGCCGTGGTAGTCGCCCTAGCAACTTTCAAAGATTTGATTACCAATTCGTGGTTTCTTTTGTTTGTCGATTCAGAGCCTGTTCAGGGAGCACTCGTGAAAGGCTACTCAGCCAAGGAGGATTTGTGCGAGCTCACGGGCGTTTTCTGGAAACTTGCTCTTTCGATCAAAGTACAGTCGTATATCGATCTGGTGTCGACAGACGCTAACCCAGCAGATCGCCCAGCGCCAAGTTAGGATGGACAACAGTCCCTGCGCAGACGCCGAATTTGTAAGCAGCGTGGGTGTGTTGTTCGTTCTTTGATTTTGTTCAGATCATCTGATTGATGCTACCAGATCGTGTAGCTTCAGGTGCTAACCTTCCAACCTACCCAAGACGCACGGAAGGAAAAAGATTTGCGCTTCTTGATGTGCCACTTGGTTGTTCATTTGTGAGTGGAGGGCTCTAAGCAGGTCAATTGTGAAGTTCTTGTGCGCCCACTTTCAATTCTTATTTATCCGTGATCACGCATCAGCCAATGGCGTAACGCCATTTTGGCTCAAGAGAGCTCTTCCCCAAGTTGTTCAACCCACCCACCACTCCCCATGATCCAAGATCCCTGGATTGGGGAACGGTGCCAGTGCCCTGTGTTCCTATCTCAACACTTAGGACGCTGGCAGTCGCTCGATCTGGCCACAACAAGCTTGAAGAGCTCGGCGCGGCTAGCGTTCGATGCCGTGACTGATGATCTGACGATCTTTTTGATTTTTGATTTCGCAAAAAGCGCAATCTACTCCGGGTAGCTTCGATCGGAGCTGCCGCGCATCCCTCATGAGCAGGTAGTCTATTCAGACTGCCTTTTGCTGGAAGGTGCCGTCTGCCGTTCTGCTCCGCAGGCGGCTTTTGTGACAAAGGGCAGTGTGGAAAGGCATACCTTGTTCAAATGACGGGGTGTGTTGTTCGTTCTTTGATTTTGTTCAGATCATCTGATGGATGCTACCAGATCGTGTAGCTTCAGGAGCCAACCTTCCAACCTACCCAAGACGCACGGAAGGAAAAACATTTGCGCTTCTTGATGTGCGACTTGGTTGTTCATTTGTGAGTGGAGGGCTCTGTTCAGAGCCCGGAGAGAGAGAACTTAATTGGATCGCATTTTGCCATTTCGTTCAGGTGCTACCGCTCTTCTGCGTCGCGCTTTTCATTCCAGTCCTTGGCAGCATTTCTGCTGTATTTGGAGACACGCGGACGCTGATGACAACCTCAACAATTCTTCTGGGTAGCTTCTTCAATCAGACTTCTTTCCTCGTCCCCTGGCCTGAAGACCGGAGTTTTGGGTTTTCTTGTAAGATTTAGAGCTGAACTTCAGTGCTTCACAGAAGCATGCGCAATAACTACCAATGGTCAATAGTTTCAGTCGTTTCAAGAGTATAGTCTTTCACGTCAACTTCCAGAACGCGTGTCACCCAGCTTCAAAGCTTCAGGCAAGGCGCGCAAAAGAGGAGCTTCTGTTTTCTCGTTTGGTTCTCGCTTCGCAGGTACTGGGTAGTTTGGCGATCAATGCTATCTTTTCAAAGTGTGGCATTTTGGACCTGCTGATGTCTATACTATTGAGACGCTGGAAGCTGGAGAGCAAGAGTTTCCTGCTACATGGAAGCAGATAATCTGTAGCTTGTTGGAACCGGGACTCGCGCATTCTTTTCTTGACTCGTAACTTGGCTCTCAGCGCGTGATGAAGCCGAAGCGATGGATGTGTCATGTGGGCCATGTACAGAGCATTCAATTTTTCTTTGCGCGTGGCAAGCTTGTTAAATTTGATCATTTTTCCCACATAGCTGTAAGCTGAAGGGGTTCTACCTTCTCAATGGTGTGGCTGTGCATCGGCGTTTTGGTTTTGAAGGTGCTCCTGCCGTGCTGCCGCTGGTAGAGGTGCCGGTGGCTGTGGATCGGCGTTTTGGTTTTGCGGGTGCTGCTGCCGTGCTGATGCTTTTGAGGGTGCTGCTGCCGCACATATGTTGGTAGGGGTGGCGGTGCTGGCTGTGGATCAGCGTGTTGGTGTTGAGGGTGCTGCTGCCGTGCTGACGCTGGTAGAGGCGCAGGTGGTGGCCGTGGATCGGCATTTTGGTTTTGAGGGTGCTCCTGCCGTGCTGACGCTGGTAGAGGCGCAGGTGCTGGCCGTGGATCGGCGGTTTGTTTTTGAGGGTGCTGCTGCCGTGCTGATGCAGGTGCTGGGTGTGGATCGGCGTTTTTGTTGTGAGGGTGTTGCTGCCGTGCTGACGCTGTTGCGTTGTTGTTTTGCCTGTGCTGGTGGCGTGTTTGTGCTGACTCGGGGTTTTGCTTACAGTGTTTGGGGGCTTTGCTTTGCTTACAGTCTTGCTACATGGCGGCTGTCGAAACTGATTGCGCAATGGCAGGCTGAAGGGGCTTAACCTCTCAATGGTGTGGCTCTGGATCAGCGTTTTCGTTTTGCGGGCGCTTCGTTTTGCAGGTGCTGGTGCAGGTGCTGGGATGACATCATGGCATGGCAGGGGCGACATGTCACGCCAGAAAGGACCAAAAACATCATGGCGTGGCAGAGGCGCGGCGACGTCATGTCCTATATGAGGGGTGAAATAATGTCATGCCAGGGATGACATCGTGGCGTGACAGGGATCATGTCATGCCAGGGGTTACGTCATGTCACGCGAGAGTTGACATCGTGTCATGCAAGGGATGACATGCTGTCATAGGGCGTACAACAGCGTCTTGTGCAGCGTGATCATAACGTCGTCCGGGCAGCTTTGGCCGGTCCTTGCCGATTTTGAAGTGTTGGGCAAAGCGTGGCACTCAGCGGACTGGTCTGATGTGGCGTGCTGTGGTGACAGCCGTGTGTGGCGTCCTTTAAACCTATTATACACCCGCTATCTGGGGTCTATGCCGGTGTGATTGTTTAACCCTGAGAATCCTGACCAAGCACAGGTTAGTCATCATGCTGTGCACAATGACAGCCTGCTCAGTGCTTCTTGGATGCAAACCCATGCCTTTCGGCGCAGTCAATTCATGATGTTTCCAAGCACCCATGGGTTTCCTTTTGGTGAGGCTTTGCTCGGGGTTGATTGTGGTGCTGGCAGCGCTAAAACCGCTCATGCGTCAAGGTGAGGCCAAGACTGGAGTTCTGAAAAGTGAAAAATTTGCAAAATGCTGCAGATGCTCAGCTCTACTTTGCACAGGATTCTTTCGGTTGAGCCAAGGTCTTGAAGAAACTGCCATCAAGCGGCTTCTATTGGGTGTTGCATTTTCCGCCAATGCAGGGTCCATACTCTTGCCGATCTCAAGCACTACCACCCTCATCACGCTGAGTTGCGCGACAGACAATCCATTGGGTGGCGCTTGCAAACCGATGTGTCAAGGGAAACGCAAGTCCCTAGACGTCCATCTCCCCCCAGAAGAGATCCATACAGTAAGCTATATATCTTGTTGGCGATGCCAAGTAGCGTGATTTTTTGTGCACGGTGCCTCTCTTTCAACCAGGGGATTTGGATAGAGCACGCCAGGACCTAAAACCTCCTTATATATATATAAGTATATATGTGTGAATTTTACCTGTTGTTGGTATCTTGTGTACAGCCGAGTTCTGTCCATGGTACATTCTGCTGCGGTTTGGGTTTACAGGGCCCTTGAGCTTCCCGCACTTACGCGACGTGAAAACGCCGTTGGACGTCGCGGTCGGGATCAATTTCGCATTGGTAGCGGAGCAGGTTCGGGTCTCGTCCCACTGCATCCATCAACCCGTAAATCCGCCGATCCAGGATTCGTTCGTGCGTTCGCGCCGAGAATTTGCAACCAAGTGTTGTTGAAATTGCCCGTTGAGGCCTGACAGACAGGAAATGTCGGTCGAAGGACAAGAATTCAGCAGGCGGTACTCATTTGGAGACCAAATCTGGTTCGTACATCTACTATAATGATGCTGCATCGTTTCATGATTGGGAATTTCGCACTCGCCTTCGCGTTCGCCTGTGGAAAGAAGGCAGCAAACAGAAGATCCATTCCCGAAAGAGTACTCCAGCGACAACACCAAAGAAGGGTGACGTGCCCAATGGAGGTACTGAGGAGGACGCTGAGCTCCCACGTTTCCCTCCTCTCGAACCAGAAGACGAGGAAGAATTAATTTAAGTAGTCGTCACCAAGCCAGACATCATGACACTCGTGAACAAGATCCTCGAAGGTTTGCGTGGAGATGCCTTTTTGCTTGCCAGGGACGTCGGCCTTGATGCCCTGACCAGTGAGGAAGGATTGGAAGACCTATTGCAAAAGATGTCGTATTCCCACGTGCCAATGAGGAGGCGAAGGAGCTGGCCCTTTGTCACGCCAAGCTGGAGAGTCCATGCTGTCGTACACCAATCGACGCAAGCGTTGGTGGTGTCACTCAGCAGTCTTCGCGCCGAACTGTTGCTCGAGTTGTCTGGTTTGTCGCGTCAGGAGATGCTTGTGACCAAAGCATGCGCCATCCCCAAGAACTTCGAAGAGTGTTCATCTCAGAGAAGGTGGCAAGACATGGCAAGGCCGCTCTTCACCTATGTCTGGGAAGGGCAAGAGCTATTCGAACCATTCAGGAAAAGGCAAATCATTTCGTTCAGGAAAAAGCAAAGGCAAGGTTGTCCGTAGCCAGATGAGCGTTGAGCAACGCCGTGCCAAGCTTCGTGAGTTGAAGCCCAAGTCAAAGTCTCTTCGTTGTGGAGGCATGGGACATTGGGCAGGTGACCCTGGTTGCAAGTTTGCGAACAAGCCACAACCCCCGAAGCCTGCTGCCAACCTAGCCTATGAGAGTGAATCACCAGATGATGAAGGGTTTGTTTATTATGTAGGTGCAGCCACATCTGCTGAGCAGACCAATGCAGCCATGATGGCATTTCGATCAGGAGCATCCGGTAAGGGTTCGCGCCCCCGCCCGTCGCAGGCACAGTCGTCTATGGTTCGTGCAAACGATGCCACTTCGTCCGACTCAGGCGCCCGAGTAACTCCGTTGTCGGTCGAGCGCTCGATGGGACTCAACAATGTGTTTCAGATTGGGCAGTTCAAGGGGAAGACCTATTGGGATGTTCTGCATCGACAACCCCAATTCTATATGTATGGGCAAAGAAGGAAGGTTCTTGTGTTCCCGGAATCCAGCAGTATGTGCAATGGGTTGACCAGTTCTTTGAGTTCAGGGGTGGAGAGATTTACCTTCGTGATGAACCTGTTCAACCTCCCCCTGCAATGCCCGGTAGCACCAAGAAAGGCACAGCAAAGGCGACGCCGCCTTACCCGCCATTGCCCAACAAGTGCCAGAACTGCCAGGAGTTTTCGTTCCGAGGGAGCACGGGATACACGATTCGTCGCGCGTGTTTGCGTTGTGGGCATTCGTCCACCGAGAAAAGGGAAGAGAAACTTCAATACAAGCCTGAAGATTGTCCGCGTGAATCCACCGATAACAGGGGATCAAGCCGTTCGACTCATCGCGTGTGGTGCAAGCAATGTTGTTCGTTCATTGAACTGCCAATGGAACTACGCCGTGAGCGAGTTGCCTTGGCACAAGCTGTGGAGTCAACAAGCCAAGATGTTTTGACCCCAGAAACGGAGGTAGAATCTTGGGCATTTTCAGCGGTTTGGTTGAGTCGGAATGCTCGTCGTCGCCTGACACCCTGACTCAGACTCGACTTCGTGAACTACTGCAAGAAGCCGCGTTCCAAGACCAGATCTTGTTGGAGCAGGACCCTGTCGGCGATGAGATTGCCTGTGGCCTTCGGGACCCCGAACACATCGGTTATATACGCGGCCGTCGCGACCAGTGCATTCGTGTTCCATTCGGAAGTGCATTCGTCGAGCAATGGTTTGGTATACCCCCAACGAAAACAGAGACATGTGGTGCGAGAGTGACCCCAACATCTACGCCATTTTGGACGAGGGTTGCAACAGCGCATGCCATTCGCAATACTGGATGGAGAAAGCAGAAGCCAAATTCAAGCAATTGGGTTATGAAGTAGGCTGGGCATCGAAAGAGGGCAAGGTTTTCTCAGGTCTTGGGAGCCAAGGAAACAAGACCCAAGGTTGCAGGGTTTTGCCATTTTCGTTGAACATGCAAGACAACCAAGATCCCATCCGAGGAATCCTCGAATCGCGTCAGCCCCAAGAGGGTCGATCGCCGATGCTTTTGTCACTTCATGCACAGTCCCACTTAGGCCTAGTGAAGGAGTTGGCAAAAGGCACCGTTCATATTGAAGGTCGCCAACTCCCCATCTTTCGTTGCAGCAAAATGGCCTTTTGATGATTTCGTTGACTGGGGGACTGATCGATGCCACCCGTATTTTCCAGGGCGTGCCGAAGTGTCATCGCAAGTTTCGCTGTTGCTACATGGCTCGAAACGTTGCATCGATTTCTCCAGACCGTGGGCCGGGTAACGATCCCGCAAAGGCGTTCATTGGCCACAGACCATCCGAGCACAAGGATGCGCAGACTGCAATCGATCTTGTGCAAACAAGCGTTTTGATTGTGAGCAAAGGGGCCCGGTTTGAACAGCCTTTGTATCGTGGCGCAGAAGGCCGAAGGCCACTGCTGAGGATCGATCTGCGAAAGCTATATGATCCTTCGACAAACAAGTCCATGGCTGCGCATGTGGGAAGTCATCCTCGCATTCTTGGAGCGCTTCTAGCCCTTGACGAAATGAAAGCTCATCTTGTGAATGCGCGTGAGTCATCGAGAAGTACGCCAAGGATGGCGGTTGCGCCGTTGAGTTTGGCTGCAACGGTGGTCGCCGCAGATCAGTCGGAGGAGCATCACGGTTGTCGGCCGTAGCAGTTGAACTTGGATTTAGCGTGACGCTAGTCCATTACACGTCTGAACATTGGCGCGAAATGCGCTGTGGCGGTTCGTGCAACGAGTGCCAGGACGTGTCCGCCGGTCTTGAAGTGTGCAGGCGATTTGACTGGGTGCAGATGAACGCAAGGCCTGTCGCTGATCCGGAAAAACGACATATACTTCATCATCAAAAACACCACCATTGCCACCGCCGCCTGCTGAGCATGATGCACCATGGCCATCTACTCCGAAGATCATCCCACGTGCTGCCAGGTAAAGCAAGGGGTCTACTCATTCTGAGAGGTCTCGAGCCGAAGTGTCGCAACGCGCTTAGGAGACAACAGATGAGCATGCGTGCAGAAGAAACATCGCCGCCGTCGACTGTTCATGGACGCAATTCAGAAGATGATCGCGACCGAAAATTGCAAGAGTTGACAGCCACTGTTGAGAAGCTTGCCAATGTCATTGAGCAGCGCGTGTCAAAGACTCAAAAGACAGAGCGTGTTGAACCCAGGCCAAAACATAGATCACGAACACCAAGACGAAGACGTCGTGACAGCAGGAGCAATTCGAGGACCCCCGCGCGGGGGCCGGCGACATCGATCACGCAGCCGACGTGATTCGAGATCCAGAAGAAGGTCACCGCAAGCCAAAGCAATCTGTTGTGCGTCGGAGTTTGCCTTCTCGCCCAAGTGCGCCATCCAAACCAATAGGAAAGCCTTCAAGACCGACAGGAGCAGCGCCATGGCAAAGCGTCCAACCAGATCGTCACAGTCAAACGAAATACGCGCATTCTGATCGAGAATGGGGAGATTGGAGTGACTATGGCTAGAAAGACGATAGCAAGAGGTCCGACAAGAAGCAAAGAGATGACAAAAGTGGATCGACAAGGGCTGGGTTGAGCCGTCGCCATCCAAGTGGAAGACACATGACAGGCCGCATTCACCACAGAGTACGCCGCTGGCAACTCCATTGAGGAAGACGTCCATGGCCCGCAATCCTCTTGATGATATTTTGCAAGAACCCGTCGTGAAGGAGATCAACGAGTGCATGGATCAGGCAGGATCAAGTCAAGATGCAAATGCTTCGTTTGGCCGAAGAGCAAATCCTACAGAGTTGACTGGAGCACATCTTGATGAACTTGTTGCCCTAGCTCGTCGCCGCAAGAACCCTGATCGTATTTTCTGGGTTGCAGATGATGAATCACCATCTCTGTGCGATGGAGAAGATCACCAAGTGGTGTTCGAGTGAACATCCGAATCAAGGGTGGACTCGCCAAAGTGTCAGCTAAGCGACTTGGGATTGAGTTGGCCGCAACTGATGAGAACTTGTGGCAGGGACCTCAGAGAACATGGAACATTTTCCCCAACGGAGGAGATCGTTTTGACTGGATCAGCACTCACACGATGTTGAGTGATTGTTTGACAAAGAGCATGAAGACGGACCTACTACTTTCGGCCCTTTGATCGCGCGTCTACCAAGTTGACAAGAACAAGGAGAAACGACGAGCAGAACGATGATTCGTAGAAGAGCATAGATTTGCCTAAGTAGAGAAGTTTCACTACCTTGAACGCAGAACTCACTACGGTACTCCTTGTAGAAATTCCTGTTTAGATGGCAGATTGTACATAGCTCCTGGACAGACTCGAAGAACAGGTTGAGCGTGAATTTTCCCTGTTGTTGGTATCTTGTGTACAGCCGAGTTCTGTCCATGGTACAGTCTGCTGCCATTTGGGTTCACAGGGCCCTTGAGCTTCCCGCGCTTACGCGACGTGAAAACGCCATTGGACGTCGCGCTCGTGGGCCATTTTCACATATGTTTCTTGTTTTTTCCGGGGCATAAATTTCACGGTATGTCCGATATGGTTGACGCTTCTCACCTCAAAAACCGCATGTCGATACAATCGTTCTGGCTTTAAACGCATCTAAAAAAGAAAACTGCTGGTGTGAGCATCATTTGTCCTGTCCAATTGAGCAGCGGCCAAAACTTTCCAAGTAACAATTTGAAGAGAGGTTAATGTATTATCGCGAAATCAAAACATGCAGTCGTGAAAGATCCGCGAAAGATTGGGCGAACTTTTCATCTGCGAAAGCTTGCGAAAGCTCCGGAAAGTTGGCAAAAACTTGCGAAATCAGCTCCGTCCGCGAAAGCTTGCGAACGTGTTCTTGCACAGAATGCAGCACGCGCAAACCAAAACGCAAACCGCAAAAGTGTTGCGAAAGGAACTTGCGAAAGAAGAACCCATTAGAACAAATTCTCGATAGGTTTTGAACAATGTTCAATTCGCAATTCAACCAGTATTTTGAGTTTTTCCACCATGCCTTTTGCGAGTCACTCGCCAGTAGGACCTTATATACGCATACATCTATACATATACATGGGAAGGGGCACCAGAGTGGCATATGTGTAGCTGACTCTCGATCACAAGATGTCTAGCTGTCTAGCTGAGCCACCCCAAACTCAAACAACACAGGCGGCGATGTGTCAATGCATGTTTGTAGCCCCAAAATAAGATCGGCATTGCCTTGCACATTTTCATGCCCACTCGAATCATGCTCTCCTACCATCAGCCGGTAGGCGGATAATGTGTTCGTTGAAGATCGTTCAATTGGACAATCAAAAGCCAATCACCCCAAGATTCACCAGCAGAGCACCGAACTTAGCATTGCACTCGTTTTCATGTCATTGAAACTTAGGCTTGTTGCGCGACTTTGACCACAAGCTTTCCCTCGTCAGCTGGATTTTCGTGTCGGGGCCCGTGGCCTTGTTTGGAACGGTGCTCTGCTGGTGGATTTTGGTGAAGCTTTTCCCAGCAGAAGGGGATGCTAACGAAGAGGTCTACCGAACCGTGGAGGAAGGCCTTGAGGAGGCCGACAGGCGCGCGAATTCGACACGTTTCTTTCCTTCAATTACAATTAACTCAGATTTGGAGATTATCAGCGTCCTATCAAGATCAAATCAATGCTTGTACTCAGAGCGCTCACTGCATTCTTTTCCTTTGGCGTTGCAACTCGTTTGCAGGCCGCAGCTCATGAGACAATGGAGTCTGTCGAATGCACCTAAGCTTGTGATGACAGATGGCCACTGGTTTATGCTGATGCTGAGCTGTGATGGCCATACATTTTTGATAGTTCAAGGCAGAATGCAGTGTATTTCCATTGCGCAATCTCTTATTTTGTCCTGAGCAAGGATGGTCACCTGTGTCGCGGTGCTCGGCATGACTGTTTTCGCGGAGGCCCTGGAGCCAGTGGTGGGACATCCAGCAATCTTGGCACTTGCAGTGGCGCCTGGGCTGGAGACATGACAACCGGAAGAGCCGGAGAACACAAAACGCTTTTGCGTTCCATGGAGCTTCCTTGGCAAAAAGTGCTTTTTGAGAAGGGGCCATATGGTCAATGATATGTAAAGCAAAAAGGTCGAGTCAAGGGACAAACAGCAGAAACAACCGCCAACTGTCATTAAACAAAGCTAGTTCAGAGCCTTTGGTCTCACCGTTTGCTTTTCCTTCTCCTGGGGTCGCTCATGTTCTTCAGTTGGTGATTATGCAGGTGTAATTGACTACGTTAGTGTTTTGTGCGCATACATAGCCTGGGCCTAAAGTTGCAGGACATAAGCAGGGATGGCTATTTTAAGAGTTGATGGATATGGGCCATAACGTGGGGTTTGGCTCTTTTTAAAGCATGGTCTTACCAAATCATCAATGGCCCTGGATTGGATTGCAGGCACCTCATTGCTGCATAACCCAGGTGGTTGTTGCCTTTGGCAGTGGTTTCATGTCACGCGATGAGTACTTGACCCTTGAGTGGGATTTGTGCCTTGAACATTTACAAAAATGGCATGCGTTTTGATATGGTTTTTGGTGAAAACTCACGGATGCTACTAGACTGCGCACTATTTTAGCTGACAGGCGGACTTGAAGCCAAACTGGTGATGATCCTTTTTTCGTAAGCGAAGCAACAACCTTGCAGGTTGGCGATCGTTGGTGGCACCAATGTAATGGCTGTTATGATACGAGAAACAGCACTGGCTGCCAACGCGTCAGTGCTACTGACCCAGGGTATCTTTGATTTCTTGGCATTTTGGCCTTTCCTCATTCTGGTTGTTTGTCTTCTATTGTGCCTTGGCCTAAAGCTTCCGCTTTTCCCGAAAGCCCAGTGAAGGGTTCTCGTTTGGGGTAGAGCTGTGTTTGTGTGACGTTGCTTTGAGAGAGTGGATAATCTCCGTATGGCTTTCCATTGGGAAAAGGTCTTGCAGGAGGCCTTGGATAGACGCTTGACAGGTCAGATTCGTGTGAAATAGCGCAGAAACGTGACTTTCCAAATGCGAGTCTGACCTTGCTGCTCATGTGCACTGCTTCGGGAGGTCAGATTTGTGTTTCCAGGGTGATTTGTGGCAGGTGCTCCGTGTCGCTGTGCCCTTGGGACTTGCTCTCGAAGGGCTGGCTTTCAAAAGGTGGGTGTTTTCGTGACAAGCCTCAGCCAACACCTCTCTTGGAGGAAGCCTTACAGGAATAGCTCATGTGTGACTGATGGAGGAAGTGGCCGCTTTGTAGTATATACACATGTAGTGCGAGGGGTAAAGAGGTTGCACAAAAGAATGTCAAACGAGAGTGTGGCACAAGAGTGTCCCACAAAAGTTGTCTGCAAGAGCTTCACACAGTCTGAGATATGCAACCTGCTGTGCGTTCGGGTTCGTGGGCTTCGTATGTCCCAAATCTTGGTTGACTGGACTTGTTTGGCCACAGGATCTTTGGTACCTTTTGTGGGCACTCCTTGACAGCTGTGCTGGTCTTACCTTTACTAGTGCCCTTGGGTGTGAAGTTGGAGGAGGCGCGATAGATGGCAAAAACTATTTAAGGATGTTCGAAAACTGCTGGCGCTGCATTGAATACACGTGATATGAATATGACCTGGATGTTGCGAGGCGGAGTCTTTTGCTTTACTTTGTTGCATTGCTATCCCCTTTGGAATGGGGATGCCGAGTGTGGCCTGTCAAGCAAGCATAACTGGTGGCGGCAGAACCGAACCATTCAGCAGGAGACAGCAGGCAGTAAATACAGTGGCAATCTTGCCAATATGTTTACCATTTTTGTTCTTCCTAAGATGTTTTTCGCTCAGTATGTTTGTTCTTGAGGCGTCCTTTGATAACATGGCCGCACAGATGTTTTCTCAGAATCTGAAGCGAAAACGTTGCGAGCCTGAGATGCAACCAGCAGCACTGGCCCTTCGAAAGTCTGAATTGATGGGTGGATTCATGACCCTGATCTGCTTGGGCATGTCACGCATGCGTGTGAGATCCAGCGCGGGAGCTTCCATGATGCGGAAAGTCCCGCCAAACATTCCAGACCTTCCAAGTTCTGAAATCATGGTGTATGGTAAGTGTTCTTACTTTTCACCGCCATTACTGTCCACATGCCTTTCCCTCGGTCCGCTTTGCATCGATTTTGTCCTCAGGTGGTTCGACTGTTTTGTTCTGATTGGAGCTGAACATGTATCCAAGTTTGCGCCCAAGGAGCTTTCAGTGCGAGACTTTTTTCACAGTGGTGGGCTTATGGCCCTTACGGGAGGATTTTTGACTGTGACGTTGGGCTCCTCGGATCTAAAAAAACGTGGCAAAGCTGGCAACATGGGCGCCAAAGGTCGCCGTGGTACGACAACTCTCAGAGGCTTAAAACGTCCAAGTTTTTGTGACCTGACCTGAACCGTAATTACTCACCCCACTCACTCTACTGGCGACTCGTGCTTGCTTGGCGTCGCGTTGCCGCCCCAAGGCTTCGGCGTGAGCTCTTTGCAACATGGGCTGCCAAAAGTGCCCACTGATGTGCTCCAGAGGCGAACACCAGCAGAGTTGGAGCCCAAAGTGGTGAAGGAGCAAACAAGACGAAACCGGGAGACAGTGTGTTCGCATGCAGTGTGTTTGGTTTTTGTGGCTATATATATATATACTTTTGTTCACATTGTGAATCATGATTACTTGAGGTAAGTATATATATATATATACATATTTTTTCAAAGAATGATTGAATCTGTGGAAATGTAGCATGATGACATCCACTCACACAGAAGCGTCACAAGGATGACACGCGCAAACCGAAACATCTAGGCCCGAGCTTTGTCTCAAAAGGACCGCATCCCGCTTTTCATGGTAGCGGAGCGCTGGCCGTAAAGCGCCGGCGCTCCCTACCCACGTACTTGCACTACGACCTCGTCTTCATCGAGGGCAAGATTCGACGAAGGGGCAGGGCAAGCAGAGAAGCGAGCTTCTGGATTTTGGAACTCCTCATCCCACCTTTTTAAATCACGTGGTCAACCCTTCTCCTCTTCTAGAGGCTCCCTGGTGCCTCGCAGACTGTCCAGAGGAAAGAAGGAAGAAGAAAGGGAGAAGCAAAGCAGCTGGTTGTTTCAGTCCCGGCTGGGTGGAAGTTTCTCAAGAGAATTGAAAGGGTAGACCACTACGACATGGTCAAGGCACATGAAGACTCCGGACCTGTTCAAGCCTGAGACCAGAGATCAGGAGATCAAGCAGTGGAGCGACTGGAAGTTCTCCTTCGTCAACTATGTGAAGGGGATTGAACCACAGATGGCCCACAGCATGAAGATGGTGGAAGACAACCTTGGAGGGGATTTCGATGCAAGGAAGGCCATGGCGGTACGCCTTTATGGAGTTTTGACTTCATATCTGAGAGGAAGACCCCTCAAGCTGGTGCGCCACATGAAGGATGAGAACGGGTTCGAGGCTTGGCAACGCCTATTGAAGGAGACGCAACCGGCCACACGGGCACGGTCACTTGCTTTGCTGACCCAGCTTTCCCGTGTGCAATTCACTAAGGGAAAGACCATCTCCGAGCAATTGCCGCAGTACGAGTCCATCGTGACAGAGTGGATCTCAGGGCATGTGTATGCAGATGATGCAAAAGTAGCTTCAATACTACAAGCTGTACCTCCACACCTTCGAGCTCATCTACAGCTGTGGATCACAGACACCACGACCTATGAGCAAGTGAAAAACAAGGTGATGGAATTGGAAGCTTTGTCAACGAGATGGGACTCATCAAACAGTCTCAGCCTGCCTACAAGAGCAGGTATGGATGAAGCTACACCTATGGAGGTGGACTACATCAGAGGAGATAAAGGAAAGAAAGGAGGAAAAGGCAAGACGAAAGACAGCAAAGGAAAGTCCAAAGGAAAAGACAAAGGAAAGACAAAGGCAAAAGGAAAAGGCACATGGAAGAGCAGCGAGAAAGGCAAAGGAAAGAGCTCAGACAAAGGTGGTAAAGGGAAGACCGGAGCATGCCATGTGTGTGGCAAGACAGGGCACTATGCAAAGGGCTGCTGGTCAAAGCGTGCCAACGTGAATCAGATTGAGGAGCAAGCGACTACCGCCCAGGGCAATCCAGGTGGAGCCAGTTCCTCATAGGGCAAACAGGGACAGCAGCAGTGAAGATGGTGAGGTTGGAGACCCCACCAGAGTCAAGGTCGCTTGAGATTTTTGACGTGACCGCCCCAAGAGGTTCAGATTGAGATGGACATCAGCCATGGTGAGTTGGCGTGATCCGCCTTGAGGACGAGATCGAGATTCACATGGAGGCAGATGATGATGAGGAGAAGTTCATGGACTGCATAGAACCGGCAGTACTAGTTCCAGATGGTACTGTCATTGTGGCCATGGACCTGCAAGATGAGGAGGAAGAGCTCGTGCAGATGGTGAGGCATGAGGAGACAGAGGCAAAAGAACCATGCCTGATTACATTGGACAGTGGAGCAGATGTGTCAGTTCTGCCGCGTGCCTATGCTGATGTTGGGCATTGGAAGGCAGGTTCACAAGAGCTCAGGATGATTGATGCTCAAGGGAAGCGTATAGCGCATGATGGGGTGACGAAAGCACGACTGCGAACGACCGACAGTCAGGGCAAGATGGTGGAGGAATTCATCCTCGGCAACGTGCAGCGCCCAATCCTTTGTGCAGGAAAGCTACTGAAGAAAGGACGGAGCATCTGCAACACCCAGTATGGCCTGAGCCTACGAAATGAAGAGAAAGATGTGTCAGTTCCAATTCGGAATGAACGCAATTCGTTGCAATTTGAAGCCAATATATTTGTGGTCACTGCACCTGAGAACAGGTTGAAGGAGGATAGTGTGACTGGCCAGACTGCAAGAGTGATGATGCTGAGAGGGACGCTGAGCAGATATGTTGAGGAGTTGGCCAGAGGCCAGATTGAATGACCCTGGTGAAGGATGCTGATGGAATGTGGAGCCAAGTGGAGAACATTGGCAACTACATGGAATTGGGTCTCACCGCATTCAGGAAGTTGGGAACAGGAGGACCCCTTCGAACATTGAGTGCGCCCTCAGAAATGGAAGACTACTGGGAGTTGAATTCCGAGGTCCCCATCAGACCTTATCCAGAAGAGAAGATGAGAGAGCCACAAGGTCGGCTGGATTGGTCAGAGGACGAGAGAGAAGAGGAAGAGGAGCTGGAGATGCAGTTGGAGGCTCAAGATATTGAGAAGATGGCGGTGGCTGACAGGCCAAACGAGATCGAGCTCGATGAGGTGACCTATACCGAGAAGATGTCGGTGAAAGAGCTGCAGATGGCCTGCAAAGAGCGTGAACTGCCATACACAGGAAGCAAGAGGAGGCTGCTCGACAGATTGTTGGCCTTCAAGATCAACATTGAGAACAAGCTGAAACTCTCCATAGCCAACAAGTTGTTCTAAGAGCAGCAGAGGAAGCCCATGACCATAGGACAACCGAAGTTACCAACAATGAAGGAGCAAGAGGCACATTTCGCGACCCACATCCCGTACGCTGCATGGTGCCAGGCTTGGGTAGCTAGCCGTGCCAAAGAGGACAAGCGCGAGCTAAGGGATGAAAATGTCGACGTGGGACGAAATGTGATCCAGCTGGATTTCTTCTTCACCTACACTGGCAAGGACAGACAAGTTGCAGAGAGGTCAGATCGATTTGGGACATGCCTCATTATGACCTCATTGGAGACGAAGGCAATCCACGTAGTGCCAATACCCTCAAAGGGGTCTGCAAGCCTCAAAACCGTCACAGAGGAGGTCATCAGATTCTCGCTAGAGAATGCTTCAAGAGATCCCTGCGTGTTTCAGGGTGACTCAGAGAGGGCGATGCGACAGGTGCTCAGGACGGTCCAACAGGTCAGGACTGTGATGGGGCTGCCATGTGAGATCAGGTTGACAGGCGGCGGGCAACGTAAATCGAATGGCCAGGCAGGCAGAACGTGGAGTGCAGACGATTCGATAGCTGGCAAACTGTCTTGGATCATTTGCTGAAAGCAAGCATTCATTCAGATAGCCGGCAACTTCCACATGTTCCCATGGTCGTGCCGCTATGCCTCTTTCCTGGTCATCAGGTTTCGAGTCCTGGACAAGATTGGCCGTACAAGCTATGAGTTAGCTACAGGACACAACTACCGGGGAAAGCTTGCGTTGTTTGGAGAGACAGTCATGTTCCGCAAGCTGACTCAATACAAGGGCAACAACACCTTTCACAGAGGCATTTGGGTTGGCAAGAACCAGTCCATGTCATTCTGACACCCGAGGGAGCGTTCGAGTCGCGAACGATTCGCAGGTTGGCCATGGAAGAAAGCTTTGTGGCAACAGACATGGTGATAGCCAAAGGACTTCCATGGAGCTACTCATCATGATGAAGCATGGAGGCCAAGCCCAACGATACAGACAACCGACCTTGGAGATGGAAGCCACGGAGGAAGAAATGAGGGCTGTTACTGAGGCAGTTGCAGCGGGAGTCGTTACTCCAGCACCTGGATCTAAGGCTCAACCCACTACTCCAGGTATGCCCGGCCTGGCAACTGCAGCGCCAACGACGCCTGTGCCGACCTCGACAACACCCAGGACAAAGAGGACAGTTGAGCATGAAGAGGAAGAAGGTCCAGAAGCAAAGAAGTTGGACAAGGAGGCATCGCCCCGGCGAGCGCATGAGAAACGTTAGAATGAAGGTGATGAGGAGGAGATTGAGAAGAAGCAGAAGACTGAAGGAGGCGAGACTGCAAGCCTGCCATCAGGGATCGTGAGAGAAAGGGAAACAGATGGACATGAAGGACCACCTGCAACTTCGCCATGTAAGATCCCGAGGCTGTACCCACCTCAGTATGCTGGAAATGGATTCCTACAGATCTCACCGAGGAGCTGCTCTACACCACAGAAGAAGCAGACGAACCTCCCATCACCAGTGACGAGCATTGGATGGTGATGGACAAGGAGGCCAGACAGAATGAGGTAAGCCGACTCAAGAAGATTCCAGTGATGGAGGAGGCAAGTGAGGAGGATGTCCACAATTCAGGAGGATACATCATCTCAACAAAGTTTGTGGTCTGCTGGAAGCACCAAGTGGAACAAGGAGGATGGTTTAGAAGAGCCAGATTGGTAGCGTGACAGTTCAAGAACAGCGTGGACTTAGAACAAACGCTCGCGCCCACATCGATGCTTGTGGTACCAAAACTCCTCATCCACTTGATGCTGAATGTCTGCAAGGAGTTCACAGCAATGACCCTGGACATCAAGGATGCCTTCCTCGTGGCAGCCAAAAGAAGAAAGAGCTTTCGTTGAGCTTGATGGGAAGATCTACCGGCTGATTCGATGCTTACCAGGCCAAAGAACAGCAGCTTCACAGTGGTTCAATTTGTTTGCCGACACGGCAAAGGCCTTTGGACTCAGCCAGGACATCATGCAGCCCACATTGCTCATGAAACACCGGGAGATCTACATCACGGTGCACGTGGACGACGCGTTCATGGTGGGCAGAGAAGGAGCGCTGAGAGACTTCGTCAACTTCCTGCAAGAAGAGATGAAGTGGAATGTAGAAATGTAGAAGCAAAGGGACCATTCCACATGGGAGAAAGGTTCCACTACCTGAACCGCGAGTTCAAACTGCTGGAGGAACACTGTGACATTAGATGTGACTACAAGCAGTACGAGAGCATTTCAAAAGACGTTGATATTGATGTCTTCAAGAAGGCTTACAGGAAGACACCCCTGGAGCAGAACACCAAGAAGGACACAAGTGAAGAGCTCCAAGGTGCAGATATCACCAAGTTCAGGAGTGTGGTTGGAAGGCTGATGTATATGGCTGGTGAGAGGCCTGATGCCCAGTTCGCGATCCAGAGTTTGGCGCGGTACATGGCAAAACCAACTCAACAAGCCTGGAAAACGGCATGGCGCGTATGCTCATACCTCTAAGGCACCGAAGGCTTTGGCACTCGGCTCAGCGCAAGAGCAAAAGGGCAATCCGTCATGGACGCCAGAGAATTGGTTGAGGTGGAGGACAAGCAGATGCACCTGCTGGAGATTGTGACGGATGCTGTCTACGCCGGCAACAAGGACGACAGGAAAAGCACCACGTCCTTTCAGGTGTTTTTGCATGGCGACCTGATGGAATCCCGAGTTCGAAGTCAAAAGAGCATCTCACTGTCATCCGGAGAATCGGAGTTTGTGGCGATGGTAGGTGGCTGCTCGGATGGATTGCTGGTCCGCCACCTATGGATGGAGATGACCAAGGAGGAGCTTGAGATGAAGGTAAAATCTGACAGCTCTGCAGCACGAGCCATGGTGCAAAGGCAAGGAATTGGCCGGGTGAGGCATTTAGACGCCGCTCTCCTTTGGATCCAGCGCAAGGAGAAAGAGAAGACCTGGGCAGTGAGCCCCATTCCGACAGAGCTCAACTGCGCAGACATTGGAACAAAGTCATTGACGAGAAGAAGACTCTTCGGGCTGCTATACATGCTGAAGATGGTGAACAGCTCAGGAGACAGGATTGGGACAGATGAGTTCCAGGAGCTGGAACACCGAGAGCAGATGAAGAAAGGCCTAAAGAAGGTCATGAAGGGCAAGAAAGACCTGCGCATCGGGCTACTGATGATGATGGCCAGCATGGATGTTGCAGCAGGTTCAAGAACGAATGGAAAGGAAGAGGAAGCAGAAAATGAATGGCTCTGGTGGGCATTTGGCTCACTGGCGCTGATCGGGGCCTTGAGTCTGACGCAGTGGTTGCGGTGCAACATGGTGATCAATGGATGGAACTTCATGATGAAGATTGCCAAGAAGACGATTATGGAGATTGTGAACTACAAGAATGAAGGAAGAAATGGAATGAAAGAAAAGAGCATCCAAGCCACAGAATGGCTGGAAGCTGAAGTGATCCAGAGCTACAAGAAGCAAGCGAATGAGCTGCAGGCTGAGGTGTATCGATTGGAGGACTATGTAATCGAGCTTGGAGAACAAGTGAAAGACCTCAGGCAGCAAAGGAACGACATTTTCAGACAGTTCCAACTCACTGACCAACATGGTCAAAGGCTGATGCGAGAAAGGTTGATGTACAGAACGACCAAAGGAAATCGCATCAAGATCCATTTTAACCCGAGCTGCCCGCATTTTACGCAGGCAGAAGCAACATCTTTGTGCGCAAAGTGTGTGAGTGGAGATGGCGTGATTGAATCTGTGGAAATGTAGCGTGATGACATCCACTCACACAGAAGCGTCACAAGGATGACACGCACAAACCGAAACATCTAGGCCCGAGCTTTGTCTCAAAAGGACTGCGTCCCGCTTTTCAAAGAAAGTAAGTGTGATTGGATCAAATTGGTTTGTTTCCCGGAGGTTCCACGTGTTACAGTTACCCACATTCTTTTCTCCAAGCACTCTTTTTGGTAAATCGCCCCGGCTCATTTTCTGTGTTGATTGTGGGTTGCTTGTTTCAGGAGAATCGAGTTTTAGATGGTAAGCAGAAGCGGCCGTTCCTGAAAATGCTGGGGCAGCTACACGCCTTCGGTACAAACCGGACAAGACCCAGGAAGAGCTAAGTTTGATGCAAAAAGATGCAAAAAGGTCCTATGCAGTACGTTTGTGCAGTTCTTTCTATTTGTCCGTTTGACAGGGTTTCTATGTATTCTTCCAGATGTCTCCGTTTCTGAGGTCTTGAGCCTCAGAGATCCAAATGGTCCAAGACGAGTGGATCCGCAGGCGGAATGGTACACAGGTACCTCATAGTATTTCTATGATGAAGCGCGCAAAGGTACCTCACAGTATTTCTATGATGAAGTGTGACCATGTGGCTTTCAATTTTCAGGAAGGTGGCGGCTTTCCAGATGATGAAGTGGAGGAAGTTCACGCAAGAAGTGCACATGCGTTGTTTGCTTGGATTGAAGTTCGGGCAATCATTTTTTGCGTTCTTTCTTCCTGTAGGAAAAGACAGAGAATGGCCTCAAGGAGCAGTGACTTTACACAGTGCCATCCGAGGAACTGACAATGACCTTCCAATAGAATGTCTGGTTTGCAGTGAGAATAACCAACGTTTTTTCGACGTGGGCTGAAGTGCTTTCCTCACTCAACTACGAAACGAACTGTTCTGATTTGAAGGCTGTTTTCGCCTTCAGAATGCACTAGTGGGAGTTTTTCCCTTCCATCCACCTGAAGAGCGGTGAGCTTGAGGCATTCGAGCCAAGAGGTGTGCGACTTGCATGGTGGCGGAGCTGCTGGCGATGGATGGAAATCCTTCGTTGGAATGAAGACTTGAAAAAACATTGCCGCCGTCCCCTTTCACTTGGCCGCGACGCCACCTCATCAGTTAGTACAAAAGTGGTGCCGCAAATCACCGATGATGCTGCGGTCACTAAGATCCCCAGCGAGTTCTTTGCAAGACTGAAAATGAGATTGTCGACGCGACTTGGTCAAGTAGACCCCACTGGCGAGCAAGACTTTTGGTCTTGGGCCTTGTCGCCAAACCACATCCGGTTGAGCCAGTCATCGCATGAGCTTATTCCACCATTGTTGACTTTGTCAGGTTCTTGAACCAAGTGCCGTCAGACATCCATGTGAGCTTCAGAGCCACATGCATGGGGCCCTGAGTCATCGATTCGACAGATTTTCCGTGACAGGAGAAATACAGCAATATGTACTGCAAGATGGTTGGAGGAGATCAATATTATTGACAACGCCAACAAGAAAGTCGCTTTTTGGGAGCGAATTGGCAAGCGAAGGAGCTCTCGCCTTTCCCACCCCAACGCTAGTCAGCGCAATGCAGGGGGAGGTGCGAGCGATCGCCTTTGGTGAGGGCCAGAATTTTCTGATGTCCTTGCTGTTGGCAGAAGATGTTGCAAGAGAAAACCTGCGTGAAGTCATCAAGGCAGCCCCAGGAGCCATAGCAGCCGGGTGCCCTTTGACGGGCTAGGATACGAGTTTGCCTGCGAGCCGGCCAAGATCTGAGGGCGGAAGCGGTTGTTGAGCGCCCGGTCACGTCTCGAGAAAAGTGTGCAAGTGCGCGCGCGACAAGAAACCGAAACAGGTAAGATGGCTTCATGGGCGTGCTGAAGAAGTTTAACTGGCCATGGGACGCTGTTGAACAGGCGCTATCATATCATCCTCCGTCATTGAGAAGGTCACGAAGTTGGGGTTGACGTGAGCGGTACTTGTATGTGTTTGCATGACCTTTTCAAAAATGTTCATCCACCCAGAGAGGGCTCGAGGCGTTTGAGCCAAAGGTGTGTTGCACGTCTTGTGCGTGTGTTTCTTTTTGGTGGCTGGTGGGTTGTTCTTGTGGGGGCGGCTTGCGGTTGGCTATCTTTTGGCATTGGACCCTCGTGGGACAGACGAACCACTACCCCACGCCTGCAGTTAATCCAGAAGGTGCGACTCCAACTCTTACACCCTTCCACCCTTCCATTTACTTGTCCAAATGCCCGTCCATTCCTTTGCCCTCCTATCCCTTAAGAAGAAGAAAACCGATGGTCAGCGATCATGATTAGAGAGGGAGAGAGAAAGGTGAGTTGTGCAAATTTGTTTTGTAACTTCAGGACCAAGCAGAAGTTGCCATGTCGCAAGAACCTGACAAGAAGACCAAATTGCCGTCCAACGAGCAAATGGATCCGCTTGGTCCAAATGCGGAGAAGGTTAAGAATTCCAAGATGCTAGAAACTTTGGCCACAAAATTTTCCTTGTCAACGTCGCCAACAGACTGACCAACCAACCGTCAAACTCCTCATGTGGGCAGCCAAGGAAGATATCGACAAGTTGGAGGGTAGCGAGGATGCTTGCAGCAGTGTCAATCAAGGGTGACGATTCAAAAGTGTGCGTCAACTGGTAGCCAAATGCACCTTTACCACACGCACCCAGAAAAACAGGGGCAGATTTGATGCTTTTCAAACCTTTCGCAGGACCAGATGCCAGAAGCAAAAGTACCCAAAGAGGCAACACCGACACCAATAGACCCAACCAGAGACTCTGCTGAGCCGCTCAATGAACCTCCAGAAGATATGGATG